AATAGAGATATAATTCAATATGCTGTGGTAGGTATTAGCCAGGAAAGTAGTTATTTTCTACTAGATATTTTTTCAATAATCTTTTTTTTATAAAAAAAGTAGATGAAATTACCCATTACTTACTATGATAGGCTCTAGTCATAGTATCGTCAGCGACTATCAACTCTCACTGTTCGAGATATTTTTCTGAATACAATAATGAATTTTGGACATACTCAATTGAAATAAAGAGTGAATGCTCAATTGACAAGGAATACATAATATTTCCATTAAATTTTGATACTTATGTATCTTGACTGTGGCAGTAAATGTTTCTAAAATCAACGTCAGTGTTTCATTTGTCAAATATTTCGACACCGTATGTGATTATATGGAATGTTTTGTGAAGAATTTTTTACGTTCAAACTGACCATCGTTATCTCTATCCAAAGACGAGCCATTCACCTGGTTGGTAATGCCACACTCACTAATCCTTTGAGGTCATATTGGAAAATGAAGACCGTATAGGAAGTTCAGCAATAAACCAGTCAGACATACTTAACAAGCACAGTCAGCACATCCTTTCGTCGTCAATCTCTATATGTTATTGAACAATAATTCTTTAACGTAACTCGTTCTTAAACAATGAAACGACAAAGCTTTGGAATTATTCGTCGAAGGAAGTAATCCCAAAGAACGGTGTTGAAAGATTTGACAAATGAAGCACTGGCGTTCATTTCAGTGACATTTACTGCTATATCTATTGATAGGTACATCTGAGAATGAATATATCTATGTCTTGGTCCATTCAAATTATTTTGTCTAAAAGTCAAGTTCTCATCATACTTCACTGAATTCAGAATAAAATTTGTTCAGACAAAAAGAATAAGAGATGACCGGTCACTGATTGTTACAGGGAAATTTGAAAAATAATAAGAGGGCTTGCGCATGAGTCGTTTTTGAAATCGGATAATTGATATAGGCGCCATATATAGCTTGGGGCGTTTTTTGTCACTCAGCCTGAAGTCTGAAACAAACATTTCCAGAAATATCCATATCAGAGCTGATTCAATAATATATTCGTTATGTGGTATTATAACCACGAAGATCCATCAATATTGAAAGTATTACAGAATAATAATAATAACATAACATTTTCCTAACAACTTCTGTCACCGAAGTGCAGTGACGACATTAAAGGGCAAATCATCTGATGAGTTATCCTCACTAGGGATGGCGATCATTGGAAAAAGTATCGATTCTTGGAATCGATCTAGATCGAAAGAGAAAAAATCGATCCATAAAATAATCGGAAGGCAAATAATCGATTTTCAGTAAAATCGATCCTCGATTGAATAATAGAAAGTTTCATATACATGAAGAAGTTTGAAAAATATCTTGACTTCTGAATATATATCATTAAATGATCACAAATGACCAACTAACTTGACAGAACATTATTAATTCATCATTTTATTTGGATAGCTCTCGTAGTTGAGTAAAAAACTTGTTTCTCAAAGTCAAATATGTTATTCAGTGTGCATTTTTGTTCGATTCGATTTTATGTAAAAAAAATCGATTCACCTGAAGATCGAACTAAAAAGTCAATTTTTTAGACAAAAATATCGATCTTTGGAAAAATCGATTGAAGATAGCCATCCCTAGTCGTCCCTACATATTTTTATATGGGAATGAATGATCATATTTTGATTCATTGAAACGAGGTGAACAAATCCCGAAAGATCAAGAGAAATGAATCATAGTTTCAATTTCTTCAGTCCACTAAGAATTTTGTTCTGACTACAGTCCTGTCATGGAGTGCTGTTTGATTGAAGTGAATACCTAATGAATATGTGCGAGGTTAGGCAAAAACTTGTCCCAGTCTAACGGAGTAACAATGTTTTGACTTAATCGCTTATGTTTTCCTTTGTAAAATTATGTACCGTTATACAGGGTGTTATTTAAGTACGTGGCCAAACTTGAAGGGGTGATTCTTTGGGTGATTCTAAGACGAAAAGTTCATATAAACATAGGTCCGGTATTGCTTCGTTTTCAAGATACAGGGTGTCAAAATTTTTGAAAGAAATCGTTTTTTTCGTAAATATCTTAATAACCCTTCAACCGATTTTATTAAAATTTGGCAGTGTTATTCAAGGTCGTAAAGGGCTAATTTAACCCTAACTATATCAAACATATTAGTAAGACCCCAGTTTTTGATGGTTTAGTAGTTGAAATGTTTTATTGTGTTGTCACAGGGATGTGCAATGAAGTGATTTTTATGTTTTTTCTCAAAAACAAAGCAAGATACGAAAACAATTCTAGATATAAAAAAGTTGTAATTTTAGTTGCTCAATGTGGAACAAATACAAAAATTGCAAAAAAATCAGTGGCGCACATTTTTTGTGTCAAAAATATTGGTTACAGTGCCTTCCGGGACGCCACTGGACATGATAATTTTGATATAGTTAGGGTTGAATTAGCCCTTTATGACCTTGAATAACACTGCCAAATTTCAATGAAATCGGTCGAAGGGTTATTAAGATATTTACGAAAAAAACGATTTCTTTTAAAAATTTTGACACCCTGTATCTTGAAAACGAAGCATTACCAGACCTATGTTTATATGAACTTTTCGTCTAAGAATCACTCAAAGAATCACCCCTTCAAGTTTGGCCACGTACTTAAATAACACCCTGTATATAAAATAATGAAAATACGACTCATTATTGCGATTTGTCTATTGACAGAATAGGTACTGAATGTACAAACATAGTTCCAAAATTATCCTTCGTGTCAAATTGGAAGACACCTATATGTTCTAGAATCTCTTCTAACACACTTGTATTTTGTAAGCAGTCTCAATTAATTGGTGTACGAATGATTCGGATGAGTTTCTAAATGTCATTCACACTTGTTCTATTATGTTTTATGCGAGGTTTAATGGCATAATTTGCTTCTTTATGCTTGAAGAATGCTGCTATGACTATATTTGAAAAGTATGCCGAGACATACATCAAAATGACATTAGCATCATCAATATAGAGGATGGAATGTTTTGTATAGATAGTGATTAGTGGTAGGTACGTATGGTTCGATCTTTTGTGGTTATACAGGGTGATTGAAAATTCGATATGAATATTTCAAGGACATGTTGTTGGGATGAAAAGAAGACGTTTCCTTTATATAAACATGTATCCTAAAATTCACCCCCTCTTAACTACATCCACTGTAAGTTAGGTAATGAAAAAAGATTTGTGACTATAACAGAACGGATCAAATCTTCTGAAAATTGGCAGGCTCCAGTCCTTTTAGACAGTTCATTTCATTATTTAAGCCATTTTAAAGCTGCTCGTCATTCATAGGTTTTCTCTAGATGAACTGTGCACAATTCCTTATAGCGTGGACTTATACTTGGAATATGGTTGATGGAAATTTGCCAAGGCAGTCGAAGTACTTCGTAGGAGGCTTGTCGACTCCTATTTCAGTTTCATGTTCGGTTTTGGAGCCATCTGTGTACCAATGCTCAATACCCATAGATTGGCTGTTCCATTATTTCTGCAAGCTCAATAACCTAGTAGTGAATTATTTCACAAAGCTTCTGGATTTGCTGGTTGGTTGGTTTAATCACTCCTCCATACCTACAAAATCATGTTGGACAATTGAAAAAAGTAATTTTGGTGTTAGCTTCTCACATAGAGAAAGAAGAATACTGTCTCAATTATGATGGTTGCTGATCGACGGATATTATATCATGAGATATAAGGCGATTACTTTGCGTCACCTAGTACTTATACCCTAATAATAGCACTCAACCTCGTAGGGTTGTCCCTTTATTTGGTACAATTCAAGTCCGAAATGTCCATACAAGGACGTCCTTGGCATGTGGGATATGATTTTAAACGTTCATTTAGGGACATCCATCGGATTTCCGAAATAGTACATTTTCTGGTATGACTGCAGATCTTATATAGAGTCCCTTCTAGAACAACCATGAAATATTCCATCAACATTTCTTCCAAAATCTCTGCACGGCACCCTCAATTTTTCCAGGATCGTATAACATTCGATATGTGCCTTAGGGACATCCGTCGGATGTCTCGAAATATGTACATGAACTTTTATGACTTCGAAAGGAACTCCAATAGAGAATACCTAAGTACCTACAAGAATATTATTCAGGAAATATAATTGCATATAATATGTCATGAGTACAACGTCTTATGGACGTCCCAAGGAAGTATTCAGGATGCCCTGGATACGATTCGGAATGTATCCCGAGGGACATCAATGAGGAGGTCAGATAGACATCCTATACAAATGTCCATTACGCAAGCGAATGATCATTTTCTCTTCCAATTTCCTAGAAACAACGTCCTACGGACGTCTCAGTCTGTACGTTAAATATATTGTTAACTTACACCTCACCGACGATCGACTGCTCTTAGGTTATAAATACTCCTCGACAATGCCATTTACGCAAATCCATTAGATATCCTTAAGAACCTTCTTCAAGATCTATTGGGGGCCCTCTACAGACCATCAACTCAACTATGGATATCCTTATCAGTTATGTAAGATCTGATCCTAGGGAGACCCAAATAACTTTATATTCAAGGATGATTCGTACGTCCCTGAGACATCCTATGGACATTCCAGACGACGTCCTAGGGAAGTTCAAGGAAAGTCCTATGATCGTTTCAAAAGACGTATAATGGACGTTTCAAAGGGCATCCTATGGACATTCTAGTGGACGTTTCGGAGGATATCCTATGAATGATCTCGGTACAAAAACAGAATGTTTTATGAACTTCTTCAAAGGACGTCCATTAGATGATTTCTCGAAGAGGTCCGATGTATATCCTTGACGAATATTCGTTTTTGGTGAGAAGTCGGGACATTTGTATTTCCCAAGGACGTCTTCCCACGGTACAAAGAATGCATGTCCTATGGACGTCCAGCCTTTGGATATCCATGTGACATCAGTGTGCTATTAGGGTAATCAAACTTTTTTTTCGTTTCAGTACGAGGACAGTCCAGGAAACGAAAGGATGGGACGTGTTCCGGGACCCTCCCAGCAAGGAGGTATCGAGTTCCATGGCCGACCAGAAGTGCCTGGAAACCACCGTCAAATTGTTCAAAGTCGTAGCCTATTTAGTCACCTTCGTCATAGTGCTGGTATGCGGCGTAATAGCGAAAGGCACCATACTGTTTATGACGTCACAGCTCAAGGCGGATAAAGTGATATCTTATTGTAATAGAGATTTAGGTGAGTGCTATTAGCGAATTTTGTGAGGTGTGTTCGATGTCCTCCCAGGTAGATTTCAGATCACAACGAGAAGAATTGATTAGCCATGAATCATGAATGATTATTACTCGGATTATAATGATATACCTATTACATATTTTTTTATTGGTTTTCTGTCAGCATAAATAATGAAACATCCAACTGATATTTTTTATTACTGAGTTTGAAGTTTTCTCTCTATATTTGTATATAATATCTTACTCTCTGATGAATTTCTAGTGGTTATACAGTGATGAGGATTCAAAGTCCGTCGCCCCCCTCGTGACTTCTTTATTTTATGTACTACAAAAAAAATTAATGCTTTAGTAGTGCAGCTTCATTTATAAAGATTGACACAAAAAAGCGCGCAGCAACTATAGGAAGTTTATTTTTTTAAATGGGATACCCTGTGCATTTCCAGATTTAGATTCTACGTTGAATGTTACACAAGCTTGATGGATTGTTTTATAGTTTTATATAACAAAAGTTAATGGTATCGGAATTATGAACAATGATAAATTATTATTTCGATTTTAGCACCAATTCAGTAAGGAAACCGTTACAAATGGAACACAATGTATTTCACTTTCATATCCTAACCATTCGAGAGCTTTCAACATTCTTGGTAAAGTTGAAGGAAGAATAAGTTACTGAAGGGGGGGCGGATCGAGGGACTTTTGGTCCTCACTGTATACAGCGTATTCCACTTAAAACGGGCCTCCTTTATATCTCAGCTATTAGTGGTACGATTCCTACAAAATTTATTCTTACGCCTTTTTTTATATAAATTTATTCGTTGTTCGAAATTGTTAAATTTCATAGCTCATTAGAAACTTTGACATCATTTCCAAAGCCATCTACAGAAACATGTTTATTTTTGCAATAAAGGGAAGCAATGTTTTCATATTATCCAGTAGGTACCCTCCAATTCCGAGAATGAATAAACAATTTCCAAAAGAAATATGGACTATAATATTTTTATACATTGAATTATTTCTCATTCTATTTTATGGCATGAAATACAAGATGGTCGAACAATATTTTCCAGTAGGTATGGATTTTTCGAATGTTCGAACTTTCGCTTTCTTTTCAAATGAACACTCCTTATATTTTTTGACTATGTGATGTAGAATACGATGTAGGATAGGATTCATAAAAATTTTCTCATAGTAGATCCACAGTTAAAAGAATATAATTCTTTTAACTGTGGTAGATCCCTAAGACGATTTTCGAATTATTGAACTTTGGAAATTGTAAGTAGCAAGAACACACTGTATAATTGACCAAATGTAACAACACCGGAGAAAAATACTTCCGATAGTATCTCATATTGATGACTGTTCAGATCTTGATTATGCAGAATAGTGATTATTACCCAAAATACCGTTCCGTGTTGTATAACAATGAAGAACAAATGAAAGTTTTCAAGTGCCTCTAGCGCCAAAACTAGCCTATAGAAAAAGTTGTGCCCATTGAACTTTTTGTTTGGAATGACTTGGACTATAACATATCAAAAATTCAGCCAATTCGACAGGGGGCCAATTTCCCTATTAAAGTGTGCGGTATCCTTTGTAGACTTGGCTACATTGTGCTGTATGGTGAGAACTAACAAGACCACGCTCACAATTCATGGGCCGTGTTGTCACGTTCACCGCTTCAAATGTCCTCTAGTGTGGATTTCTATAATTATTATTTACACAAATTTATTAAAAGCAATGAGCCACAAATCATAAGGGAACATTCTGAGACAATTGAATATTTATTGCTAATTAGGAATATTGCCAATATTCAATTAAACATTTATGAATTATTGAATATTCAATTTTTCTGAAGTTCCCAATCGCCTTTCAACACATGGCAACTCTGCTATGGCCCACCCCTACTTACGAAATAGTGGCATCAGTTCTTACTGGCGGTAAATTTCTTACCGTAGCATTATCGATGATTTAAGCACCTAAAAATCGACCGAAAATTTTCAAAAAATATGAAATCAAGAGGTATTTTTTGAGGCTTATGTAGCAGACCTTTGGTAGATACGGAAAGTCACATCAGCGCTGTGGGAATGACCTCTCTGACATAATGCCTCCAACAACAACAAAACCGTCCTGATTCCGAATAGAGATGCCAGGTGCCACCGAAAGAAGAAACTACTAAGAGCAGATTATTTAAAAAAACCTCAAGATCTGGTGCGGGTGATGTATACGGTCGCAGAACACCATATGAGATATACCAACTAGCCTAGAGTCCTATCCAACCATATTTCAGGCGGAAATTTTCGCTATTGATTCATGTGTAGATACATTGAAGGAAAGCAACCTTTTTACACAAAACAATCGAAATATTCTCGGATAACCAAGCGGTTTGGCTCGCACCGATCAACGTCGGAATTGGTATTGAACTACCAAAAAAGACTCTACGCTATATAGAAAGACTCAACAAATTCTCTCTGGTCTGGATTCCTGATGGTAACTCCGGTATGGAAGGAAATGAAATGGCAGGGTGGTTTCTTCGGACAGAACCTTCATATTTTGCCGAACGAACACTGAACACTCTGACTGCAAGAAGTGCTGCAGACTCCTGGCACAATTTACTAGGATTGGCTGATTCCAAGCATTCATACATCCCTCGAAAAATGTCACCAAAGGATGTTAGACTACAGCAGAATTTCTATACTTGGACTGTCAGATGATCCGGCATACTGTCTCTGATGTCTTGAAGATGATACAACAGCAGAACATACAGGGTGACATTTTGAAAATTTTCCATCCTCAACATCTTCCTCCCAGTAAATAATATGAAAAATCGAGAAGACAGGTTAATTTTATTTTCAAGGGGAACACTTGAAATGAATATTTTAAGCCCACTTGCTTCAACCCTCTAGGAGGGGTAGATGTTACCCTTAGAACCTCAAATGGGAAGGGGGGGTCAAATGGCACATCATTTTGAAGGGCACTCAAACATCTTTCCAACGAAACCCTAGTTTATCATTTTCTGTTGAGCAGTTTCCGAAAAATTCCGTGTCAATTAGTAAACTTCCCAACCTAAATATTTTCCTTCCATGGAAATCGAAAAGATAGGTCAATTTCATTCCCAAGGGGGACACTCAAAATACATATTTTGAGACCTCTTGGTTCAACCTCCTGGGAGGGGTAGAAGTTACTCTCAGAACCTTGTATCAAAAGGGGGTCAAGAAACACATTATTTCAAAAGGTGTTCAATTCTCTTTCCAATAGTACTCTAGGTCATCAGTTTTTGATGGGCAGTTTCCGAAAAATGCCGTTATGAACTCACAGAAGTAATCAGAACATGCCTGTTGATTAGATATATATAAATCCTTTATTTAGTCAATTTGGCTAATTTACATTTTCATGTCATTGCAATAGTCACAATGAGATCGGTATATAGTTAATTCATACACTTGTCACAAAAAAAATATTTACACATAATTTATATATATATACACATCTATACACATCCAAAAAAAAATATTTGATAAATACACAAAATAATTTAAAACATACTAACACATGTACATTGGCGTTATCTGAATATTAAAATAATCTTAACAAAATGAGGAAGTGGCTACTAGGATTTTCATTGATTGAGAAAATATGATTTCAACTTTGTCTTGAAGGATGTTAAAGATGTTAAATCTTTGATCTCTTCTGGCAGCTTATTATAGCTATCAAGTCCTTTGAAAAAAACAGAATTTTGAGTATGTGTTAATGTGACTTGTTGAATATGGAAGTTAGATCTAGATCTTGTATTGTATCCATGGATCTGGTCATTGTATAAAACTTTTTCTTGTAGATATGTTGGAGAAATTTTATTTCTTATTTTGAAAATGAGGATTAATGTTTGGTAGAGGAGAAAAGGAATAACTGGTAACCATTCTAGTTGCTTCAACATATCTCTTATTGGTGTTAGTCTTGGGCAATTTAGAATTATGCGCATCGCTCGATTTTGGAGTTTCTGTAAACGAGCTAGATCATTCTGTTTCAGAAGATATAGAATTGTAGAACAATAAGTAAAATGCGGAAGCACTAATGAATTGTAAAGTAAAATGTTTGCCCACCTTGTCAAATATGGGGCACAACGAGATAGATACTGAATTTTGAATGCTATCGTCTTTATAATGCTGATGCATTCAAAATCTTCCTACCATTTGGACTGAGAAGGAGAGCCATTACAATAATACTTACCTGAAAACTATTCATCTCGGTGCAGGCATGCTTTAAAAACTTCTGTAAGTTTAGAACGACATTTTTCGGAAACTATACCCATCAAATAAAAAATTAGGGTTTTGTTTAGAAGATACTTGAACGCCTTTCAGGCTAATGTGCATCTTGACCACACTTTTCATGTGGGGTTCTAAGGGTAACATCTACCCCTCCTAGGGTTTTTTTTTGTACTAATGTACTGGTTCCTTCGAGAAGGGATATCCTGTAATGTTCAGAGAACATCATGAGAACCAAGGGAAATATGGTATGAATTGGTGTTCTTCTTGAATTTCTGGAGGTTATATGCCTCGGGGAACACCTTCCTTGGCAATGTGTTCCAGAGCTTCGCTGTTCGATGGATGAACGAGTCTTTGGAAAGAGATATGTTCTGACGACGAAGGGGTGCGAAGCCTCAACTCGACGGGTTAATCTCGCGGGGACTGCCAAGGGAGGAACAATTGTTGATATTTCAGAAGAGCATCGTCCATGAAAATATCTATAAAATAGAGCCAGATTGCCAACTTTTCTACAGTGTTCCAGATAAGTGAGTGAGTTTGTGAGCGGGGCATCACCCACGAGACGAATTGCGCTTTTTTGGACAGAATCCAACAGTTTCAGGGTATGTTTAGGTATGGCACTCCAAAAATTGGAACGGTATTCCAGGACAGGTCGGATCTGTGCCTTATAGATCATAAGCAGCTGACTGGAAGTGAAATAGCTCCTGGCCCGAAACACAAAACCAAGTTTTTGGGATGCGCTTTTAGCATTAGATCTCACGTGATTTTCCCAAGAAAGGTTATTGCTGATAGTAATACAAAGCATCGAAATGGATGTCTTCAAAGGTATGGTTACTCCTGACAAGCTTGTGTTGGGCACAGTGAAATCGGCTTTTTTAGAGAAAAGGCATGCTTGTGTTTTGTTTGAATTGAAATCTATCAAGTTATTGGATCCCCATTCGCGAATTGTTGCCAAGTCTATATTCCTTTTTTCAAAATACATGATATATAAAATTTCAAAGATTGTTCTTGCCCTGGCCGGTGGTCTCTGCTGAATTATTTTATTATACAAAAAAGTTGCCCATGCCTGGGATTGAACCACTCACTTTGAACCTAACCTAACGTAGATCATTTGACATCATAATCAAGCACCTATACAAGCCGCTATAATTCCATTGCCAACATACATCATATTCTACTTCCAATAAATAATACAGTATAATTTTTCAGGTAGGGAAAAACAATTCATAGTCAAATTACCCACCCCCGAGCGGGTGGCCTGGATGTGGTGCGTGTTCTTCGCGTTCGGCATCCCGCAACTGGGCGCGCTCTTTCGCTCCACCAGGATGTGCTTCTTCAAGTCTTCGAAGCGGCCGCCCTTCGCGCACTTCCTCATCGTCTTCGCGGCGGAGACCGCCCACACGATCGGGCTGGCGCTGCTCTTCTTCCACATACTGCCCGACATCGACGTGGTCAAGGGGGCCATGTTGACGAACTGCCTTTGTTTCGTGCCTGCTGTCTTAGGTGAGTGTGCTCCAATCATATGCAGATTGTTCATTGAATCGAATCGAAATGTAACACTCGACATTCTGGGGACGTCCATTTTAGGTCTGAACGTCAAAGACTTTCTCAAGAAGTACTGAAAACGTCCGTTTTTAGACGCACTGGGTACGTACGACTCCGATGTACTGAGTACGTCCAACTCTGGACGTTATCGACTTTTTGTGGACGGAATTGAATAAATTGTACAATGATGATTAAAAACAATGCAGATGATTTCTCCCCTCGATCTTATATCTATGCATTTAGGAACCTGGCCGTACCTAATCACAAAAAATCTATTCAGGTCTTCTCTGCCGTGATCATCTAATTCTATGAAAGTATCAATGTGAAGGGTCAACCGAGTTTCACACATAATCTCTTGTTGTTTACTGATATATTCATAAGTGTTCTGCCCGGTAATCTAAAGGTTCTGGGATCGATCCCCGGTAGAAGCGCATTTTTTTAAATTTTTCATTCAGAATAAGATCTTTTCTACTTTGTTTAGATCTTCTCTATGATTATCTGAGAAAAAGAAGACAAATTCCTGAATGGACGTACGGATATACAAATTCGCGGAACCTCGATGTTCCCAATAGATACCTAGTAGGCTACGGTCCTAATTTGGACGGCCCCTGTACGTACGAAACGTCTTGGCTGGACATTCTCGGTACGTTTTGGGGACGTACTGGTGCTATATGGGATGTGTCCCAAATTCGATCCTCACCATTGGAATCTCGGTAACTATGAGAGATATACAATCGGTTGAATCACGAAAGTTTCAGCAAATTCAACTTTGGTGTTCCTTGTGCCTTAGTTCGTCAGGGATGGGGTAGCCCCAAGCGATTGTATCCCAAGTCATCAAAAGTAAAGCCGGGTCCTCTCCTGTAAACGAGGCACAGGACCGTGTAAAAGTCCTTGAACGGTCACTCATTCAACGGGACGAGAGGATTCTTGTCAACATGAGTAGCAATCAGGCCAAATCATCTTGCAACGGCGACCCATCAAACATAACAAGAGGAATCTTGTTGACATGGCACCTGGGGTGACGAGGATAGTCCCATCAAATCGTACATACGGCCTGATGCCTCACCAATGGGCGTGTACACCTTAGTAAAACTTTTAACTCAAACCATGTTTATAATGATCCTTTTATACATAAATAATGATTGACGACATAATTTGATCGAAAAATTAACTGGAATGTTTTATTTTTGGACATAAATAATAGTACCTTCTGAAATCGGACTTTCTTATGACGTAGAAACCTCATCTCGCCATAGTTGAAAGAAAATACCAGACGCCCGATGGAGACTGAGGCAACTGATATATTAATTCTTTCAACTGTGATCTCGCGCTAATTCACTCTGTCAGAAATCATGTATCATTCATCTCTGTCTGGAATAGTCATGTTTCAGTATTAGGGTTTTGACGTCACATCATCGCCTCGTTTTCAGAGGTCCGAAAAATCGGGGATTCTGATAATTTTTTATAAAACGTAGGGAGCTCACAGCAAGAAACTGTTTGCGGTGGTGAGCTAGTTTGGGTGAGTTCTATCGAATTATGAAATAAATTTTTTTTGTGATATAAGCCCATTGGGTTGGACTCCAGGGAGCAGCGGTTCCAAAAAACACCATCGGACTACGGCCGAGGACGTGAAGAAGAATCCCACTATGGGTCAAGTGGGAGGATATCTTGCCTGCCTCGGCGGGTGAGCAGCGTTTCTGCTCGGGCACTGACACTGCAGAGCCAGTAGTCTGTTTTATCACACGGCCTCACCATTGGTATAATAAAATGGTAGCAGGAGAACATGCCGTTACATAACGGAGATGGCTATAGCACGCTGATTTGGCGTATTCAAATCTTCCATTTCTCCCTGGGGTGTGCTATCAAAATAAGTCGAAAGATAGGTGACCGGCAGTCATCTCCTATGGGAGTCATGTGAAATGGGGGAGGGAATTGGTCTCAACCGGTTGCTACCCCGGCAACATAATTATTAGTATTATATTAGTCGACCCGGTTAAAGTTCAACATTTTCCGAATTGTTTCAGGTTTACTATCGAGAAGTAGCAAGGATTCCCAACGTTTCATAAAAGTGATAATAGATCTCATAGCGATATCAGCCCAGGCGACTGGTTTCATCGTTTGGCCAATAATTGAAGGGAGAGCCGACCTGTGGATAATCCCCATAACGATTTTCCTGATCTCCATTGGATGGTGGGAGAACTACATCTCGAAATACTCGCCGCTTCCCTTCATCAAAAGACTAGGGAAAATCAAGGATACCTTCGACGAGACGAGATATTTCACTTACATGTTCATATCGACCTGGAAGATACTGTGTTTTTTCATCGCCATTCTGTTTATACTTTTGGCGAGAGAAGGAGAAATTGCATTTTTCTTCACCGAGTTTTCTGAAGGATTTGGGGCTCATCCCATTACCATTTTGGAGGTGAGTGAAACATCAATTATTGTTGTAGTCATTATAATCAATGACTGACAAAAGGCGAATACGACATGAACATATGTGTGAAACTCTGATATATTTTGTTGAGCAGTTATCCTACCTAGAAACAACTCATACCCTGGTAGGCAGGATACAGGGTATCACAAAATTACATGGAAAGATTCAAACTGCAAATTCAAGGTATAACAATAGTAGAAGTTCATATAAACATGGGTCAACAAATGGCCCTAAAGGGGGTTATAGTCATCTGGAGGCGAGTTCGAGATGAACATTTTCAGTGAATATTTTCGAAATCCTTTATGATGAAATAGTTCAATTTTGTACATGTAGTTGACGTTCTTTCATACTAGGGGCACTTTTTTCCTCTCAACATTTTTGTTAATAAAATTTTTGTCAGTTTGGCCAGAAAATATAAAAATCTCAACACTTTTACGCGAAAATTGTACTTTTATTCAGGCAGTACCCTACCTAGAAACAACTCATATCCTGGTAGGCTCAGTATACAGGGTAAAGATTCTAACTGCAGATTTAAGGAACAACAATAGTAGAAGTTCATATGAACATGGGTCAAAAATGGCCCCATAGGGGGTTAGTCATCTGAAGGCGAGTTCGAGATGAACATTTTTAGTGAATATTTTCGAAACTCTTTGAGATGAAATAGGTCAATTTTGTACATGAAGTTGGCTTTCTTTCATGCGGCTAGGGCTAGGGGCACTTTTTTCCTCTCAACATTCGATAACATTTTTGGCAGTTTGGGCAGAAAATATAAAAATTTCAACACTTTTACTTGAAAATGGTACTTGTATTCAGTTTCGATAGCATTCACTGTTTACGAGATAAATTATTCATCTTAAAATTCTGCTGCGTAACTCCGGAATCATGATTGTACGTAAGGTCTGTTCGCTGTGCCTCCAATAACTACAATATTGGACACCCGTACACCAGAATAGATTGTGTACTATTCATAGCTGATAGCTATTCATCATTGCCTGAATTCCGCAGATCAAGCCAGTCTTGGGCGGCACCTCGCTGCCCGACATCTCCGAGATCATTCCCACGGGCGACGACACCATCGTCCAGTCCAGCGACATGACGCCCATCTACGTCCTTATGCTCAACGTCACCGCCTCCTACCTCGCCTACATCGTCGGCAAGTTCGCCTGCAAGATCATGATCCAGGTGCGTATTTTGGTCCTTCGAGCCGGATCAAAATGTTTAATAGAATTCTCATTATATGGATGAAGCTTCAATTCGATGAGTTATAGGAATGCGGACAATAATCAATACGTAATTTATTAGGAATCTATCGAATAAATGTCAAACAGTTACATACAATGTGTTCTGATCAATATTATATTAGCATTCAGTATAATTCTCCCCCTCGTTGCTAACTTCATTTTCGTTACCATGAATCTTGAAGCGGTGTAGTTTTCTAACTGGTCTCTTGAATAGTCCAGTGTTTCAGATTCAAATTGACATACGAAACTTGCAGATAGAGGACATTTCGATGGTTTTTAATCACCCTTCCTTGATGTTCATACCGCCTTTTATAACTGAGGTACAGGACCTTATCTTGAGGTGGCAAAATGTTCATCTGTTCATAATTTTTCAACCACTTTGTATAATCTATTCATACTTGATAGAAATATTCCACTTATATTTCTTATCAAAACTAAATGAAAATCGAGATCAGAATCCAGGTCCGTCTTAAGGAAAAACAGAAAACTTCACAACACCCTGTATGGTAAAATTTTGTGGATCTGTTTTGATATTCAAAAAGAGAGGGACAAAATTAATATAGTGACCTACTTCTCATGAGCGCGCATCCAATTCGACAGATATGGTTCATTATTATTTTTTAAAAATATTCAGCTCTATATCGTGGCATATTCATTGAATTGGTAATTCAAATTCCAATTTCAATACAAAAAAATTCAACATCATTGAATTTAAATTAGTTCAACTATCGATAGATTTATTCGTTTGACAGAATAACTTGTAAATAATTTCAGAAATTATCAATGACTCATTTTATTCATAAGCTGCGGTGCTGGCTGTGCAATTAATTTCAAAATTCTAACAGATCATAATTATTAGTGTGATATTATTGGTACCGTTAACGTTATTATTGTGTTATGACATAATAATTATGAACACTTCGAAATGTAACAACCCAATACAAGCACCAACAATCATCATAACGTTACCAATATATACTATATATATTTATTATGGGTGGCAGAAATTTGATCGAAAGAAAAATGATAGAATAACATTTGATAGAAGTCTTTTGATCAAAAATCAAAAAATAGAAAGAACTTTTTAACGGAAATACATTCGATCGAATGTTTTATGATAGAAAATACATTTGATAGAAACATAAATGATAGAAAATACAATTGATAGAAAAAATATTTGATAGAAAATACACTTGAACGAAACAGCATTTGATAGAAAATTCAACGGGGCTACGCTCAAGTTAGGTCAGTTCGTTTGTGAAGATATGATCCTTCCTCATATATTTGAGAAGAAGGAGCTAGAAGTTTGTGGTATCAATAAATTCATAAGCTTAGATTTCCATCTCGGCCTCCCTAAACGCTCCGCCTCCGCAAATGCAAAATTCGGTTGTCAAACAAAGTGTCACTTTTGATCCTAATCAAACAATCTAAATACTATTATATACAGTACACTAATTATTTCGGGGCATCACACAGGGCTTCTCCTACGCTTTTCCCGTCAACCTCACCATCCCCGTGTCCATCTCGCTGCTGATCACCGCCTGCGGCCTCAGAAACGGCGATCCCTGCTTCTTCCACGACACCATCCCGGACTACCTGTTCTTCGAGTCGCCGCCCGTGGTCTTCCTGAACGACTTCATCTCGCACCAGCACGCGTGGATATGGCTGCTGTGGCTGCTGTCCCACACTTGGGTCACCATCCACATCTGGACACCCAAGTGCGAGAGGCTGGCGAGGACTGAGAAGCTGCAGGTCGTGCCGCTCTACGAAGGTAAGAAAAAAAACAGTTTCGTTCTCTCGATTACCACACTGTGAACCTCTGATTCATAGATTCCATGACGCAGCGCAAGTGTTCCTGCAAAAGTATATGTTTTCAAAGAACATCGTGCGATCCTAAGGAGGATAGGGACAGGAGGTAGGTATTGGAATTTTTTTGAACTTCTGGAGATTATATGTTGTTGGGAATACTTCCTCAAGCAATGAATTCCAGAGCCTAGCCGTTCTATGGATGAAGGAGTTTTGATAAAGTGCTGTTCGGCATCTTTCGAGGTTGACTGGGCTTGTCTAGTTCGTCTTACTGGTACTGCTAGTGAAGGGATGATAGCAGAGATTTCCGAAGAACATTTCCCGTGGAAGTATCGATAGAAAAATGAAAGGTCGGCGACCTTTCTACGGTGTTCCAATGATGTCAAAGAGTGAGTGAGTGTGGCGTAACCCACCAAGCCAATGGCTCTTTTTTGATAGAATCTAAGAGCATCAGCGTATGTTCTGGTGCTGAACCCCATATGTGAGAACAGTATAATAGAACAGGCCGTATCTGCGCTTTGTAGATCATGAGAAGCTGTTGAGGTGTAAAGTAGCTTTTCGCACGGAACAAGAATCCGAGTTTTTGTGAAGCAGCTTTTGCGATGGATCTGACATGATTATCCCATGAAAGAGTGTTGCTGATGGAAATACCAAGCATAGATATGGTGGGCTTGGTGGGGATGGTGGTGCCATACATTACAATATCGGGCATACTGAGTTCCGCCTTTCTAGAGAAAATACAGGCTTGAGTTTTGGTGGCGTTGAATTCAACTAGGTTGTTGGTTCTCAAGGCTGTGATTTCAGCAAGGTCTTCATTGACAGCATTGACCTACCTGCGCCGTGAGTTCTTAGTTTCCTGGGATGAAATGTACTTACTACTTGAAGATGTCTTGAAGATCTTTTGAGGCCCTTCTGAGGTGTTCATAAGGAAGTCCTGGAAGTCGAGGGTCAGCCAGAGGATCTTCTGTTAATGATATCTACATCCCAAGAACGTCTCAGGGCATCCCTATAAGGTTCTCTGGGACATGAATAGGACGATATGGGAACAACTTGAGACAGTATTCAAAAATCTTTTTAGGGATATTCAAGATGAATGGGATGGGATGGGGTTGAAACAAATGATAATTTTTAGAAGAATATGGATCTCATAATATTTGCAAAATTTCTCTCTCTGAGGCTGATTATATTGAAAGGTGAAGCCTCCATACAGCGCCTCCCCGCTCGCCAGATCACTAGATTATTTTTTGTAGGGTTATCTCTCAAGGAATTGGTTTATGAAACACAATCTGTAGATTTAGATGATTATAAGAACGCATTCGTGTAGCATGTCGTAGCGTTATACCGGCTATGATTCAGGCGGCCTGCACAAGAACGCTCTTAACACGTTTTGCAGCTTGCGTGGATTCTGCAGGAAGTAATTTTCAACACGTGCAGTGATTTTTAGTTCATTTTTTGATTTGCATAAAAAATCTTTTGGCTGAAATTTATACTCCATTAAATGTTGCTGTTTTTGTTGTTATACTAATGAAAACATATATGTTATCGTTGTATTCCTTATAGGATTACACGCAACTCTAAATGATAATATACAGGTGGTGCCATTTGGAAATGAAAAGTGGAGGATAGCTGCCAGAGAACTGTCGAATGTAATAGATTTTTTATGTGTCATTAGAAAGGTACTTCAATGCAATTTATTGCAGTTTTGGAATTTTTTAATCACCTTGTCAAATAAGCGAGACATTGCCTGTATACGACACACGGAATATACAAGTGGAGCTGGAAGGATGGGAAGTTATCATTGGTATATATACAAATGATAATAGGTGTATCACTTTTATGACGTTGCAGTGACGTCTATGACGCCTAAAAACCGCGTCGGTGTGATGTACCAATTCGGTAGGCTTCGTCATCCAGAAAATTTGTCTAAAACTTGTTGTTGTTGGGACGTCCTATCCCGTACATCTCATGCAATGTCCGAGCAAGGACTTCCACGGAATGTCCCAGCTGGTAGATCATTTCAAATGTTCTAGAAATAGCATCCCTTTGACGTCCCACGTGGTACATATTGTAGAATGTCCATGCAAGGACGTTCTTAGCATGTCCCTGATGGGATACGATTTTAAACCTTCCTGTAGGGACATCGATCGGAAGTCCCGAGTAGTACATATGGCATGACTTCAGATCTTATATAATGTCTTTTCTAGACAACCATGAAATGTCCCTGATAGTACATTCCTTCAAATATCTCTGCACAGACGCCTATAATATTTCCAGGACCGTATAACAATCGAAATGTCCCCTAGGGACATCCTTTGAATGTCCCTCAGGGATATCCCAATTGGTACATGAGCTGTACTTATACTATGCCCTAGAAATAACGTCATAGGGACGTCCCAGTCGGAACTTCCAATATGTTGCCCCTGCGAGGACGTTAACTTACACCTCGCCGACGAATGATTGCTCGTAGGCTATAAATACTCCCCGTCAATGTCCTTCACGTGAATCCATTGGATTCCCTAGTGGGTCCTCAAGTGGGACATTTGTGCGTCCACGGTACGAAATTCGAACGTCCTATGGACGTCCTGAATGTCCCAACAGGACGTCCTAAGGAAATCCATTTGACATAATTGTGTTATTGGGGGATTGAATGAACATGACACATGACCTTTTATCACCAAATTGAACGTCATTTCGACGTAATTTTGACGTCACCGTTAGATGAGTGACTGTCGTCAGTAGACGTCATACCACGTCATCTCCAGACGTCATTTTGTTCATTTGAAACGTCATCTAGTTGCCTTGGTTATTACATCTTTTGAATCACCCTGTGTATGTCACCATGTCACGAACTCAATGTGCTGAGTCATATTTTCTTATGCAGGTCTCCTGATTGACCAAAGTCTGGGTTTGAACAGACGGAGAGACGACGAAGCAGATGTCAAACCTGAAGATCTGGACGAGATCCAAAAAGAAAAAGCCGACGAATACTACGAGACCATTTCGAACCATACCGACGGATCATCACCGAAGACTGTCAAGAACTCCGACCACATCACTAGGATATACGCTTGCGCTACCATGTGGCACGAAAACAAAGAAGAAATGATTGAATTCTTGAAATCCATCTTGCGATTAGACGAGGATCAGTCAGCCAGAAGAGTGGCTCAGAAGTATCTGAGAGTAGTCGATCCAGATTATTACGAATTTGAAAGTAAGCATTCCGTTCAATCACATTGACTCACTGATAACTACTGTTCATTATAGCTCATATTTTCTTTGATGACGCCTACGAAATATCGGACCACAATGATGATGACACTCAAGTGAATCGTTTCGTGAAGCTTCTTATAGCCACTATTGATGAAGCTGCTTCCGATGTGCACCAAACCCATATTCGAGTACGTCCTCCAAAGAAGATTCCCACGCCTTACGGAGGCAGATTGATCTGGCAGTTACCAGGGAAAACGAAGATGATAGCTCATTTGAAAGACAAAATGAAGATCAGACACAGAAAGAGATGGTCGCAGGTAAAATAAGACCAGATTGATATTTCGAGTCGGATGCATTTTACGTACTGTTTTTCATTTTAGGTTATGTATATGTATTACCTCTTGGGCCACAGACTTATGGAGCTACCGATTTCTGTTGACAGAAAAGCTACGATAGCAGAAAATACTTATCTTTTGACTCTAGACGGAGACATTGATTTCCAACCATCGGCTGTGCTTTTACTTATCGATTTAATGAAGAAGAATAAGAATCTGGGTTAGCAAACAATAAATCACTGAGCTTACCTTCATATTGATGTTCTTTCTATGTTTTAGGGGCTGCTTGTGGCCGAATCCATCCTGTAGGCTCTGGTCCAATGGTATGGTACCAACTTTTCGAATACGCTATTGGTCATTGGCTACAAAAGGCTACTGAACACGTCATTGGCTGTGTTCTTTGTAGTCCTGGTTGCTTTTCTCTTTTCAGAGGAAAATCACTCATGGACGATAATGTAATGAAGAAATACACAACATGGTAAGAACAGTAAGGTGGTTAGTCGATTGCAGCTTGGATTGAATATTTCTTCTCTTCCAGTTCTGCAGAAGCTAGACATTATGTGCAATACGATCAAGGGGAAGATCGTTGGTTGTGCACCCTACTCTTGCAGAGAGGCTACAGAGTTGAGTATTCAGCTGCTTCAGACGCCTACACTCATGCTCCAGAAGGTAATATATTCAAGAATATCAATGAACTCATTCATTAGATACTAAGCAAGATATTTCAACTATTTTTATAGGTTTCAACGAATTCTTCAACCAACGTCGTCGTTGGGTACCATCTACGATAGCTAACATTATGGACTTACTCATGGACTCCAAACGGACCATCCAAGTGAACGACAACATATCCATGCCCTATATCGGCTACCAAATTCTGCTCATGGGTGGTACCATTCTCGGTCCTGGTACTATATTTCTTATGTTGGTGGGAGCCTTCGTGGCTGCTTTCCAAATCGACAACTGGACGAGCTTCTACTACAACATTTACCCGATCTTGTTCTTCATGTTGGTTTGCTTCACTTGTAAATCTAACATACAGGTAATGATAACAACCACAACCACGAAGATTTGCACGAATTACAAACTGTGCGGCCTCTCATGTCGAACTTTAGAACCTTTCCAAGGGTGGTCAACTTACCAATTCTTTATTGTCTGCATAGGATTTATAATAGTTTCAAGCGGATTTCAGTTCTTTTTCGATAGTTTTGGAGTTCTTTATAGCACTTTATAGCGGGAAATGTTACAAATGGGAAGCTAAGGTGTGTCAGGAATCAAACCTCGGCATTCGTTTTCTGAAAATTTGAATTCAATGTGTTTTTTTCTGATTTAAGTTCAGGACCATCATACCTTCAGTGGAAATTCCAAAGTCATCACATAATTATCATGGGAGTATGCTCAGGAAGCCAATATGTTCATGATAGAACACAGGTTTGATCTTATTCGTGACGTATTTATTGTATTTGTTCCTGAATGAATCGAAATTATTGTTCAGTATTCCCCAACCACACTTGGAGAAACACACCTGAGTTGTGTCGTGATAAAACACACCACCTGAGTTGTGTCGTGATAAAACACACCACCTGAGTTGTATGCAAAGAAACAGTTTGGTTGAGACATTTGAGGTTATCATAAGGAAATCCAAATAAAATTGAGCAGAAAAAGTGTGTATGGTATGTTGATGAAGGGAAAAAGAAGGCAGGATTTTGATCTGGAACAAAGGTGTGGCTAACCGGCTAAATTTTCTACAGCGCAACTAGATAGTAACAACTCTTCGGACCACCATTGTGATAGTTGAATGGTGTACGAAGTACTAGTAAGAAGAATCGTCCATTAAACGAAAACCCAGAAAGAATAGAGGAAGAAGTGTTGGTCTGTTTATGAAAAACAAATCTGTATCTGAGATGAACTATTTATTGTAGGTGATCTTTGGTAGAAGTCCATATTGCTCAAAGTGGAGTGAAATTTTTCAAAGGACAGAAGGAATGCTCGAAATCATCTCCACAAATTTGAATGGTGTTACACAATCAGAAGGGACATGAGTGATACTTGAGTTTTGTTGCAAAGAAACACTAGTGAATTTGCCAAATCATCATTTCAAATCCCGAAAACAATTGAGGAGGAAGTGTCATGTAGGCATATTCATGAAATAACACGATATAAATCTGTGATGAAAGGGTGTGCATATGCCTAGGTATTCACCTTTTCATTGTGGCTCTTGAGTTAAGTGCAAAAAACACTAGTACGAAGATTCCGAATCACCAATTGATAACAAAAAAATAATTGAGGACAAGAAGTGTCATCTCATGAAAGAACATAGGATCAATCTAAACTGAGATGAACGAACCTACCTAGTGTAATTGTCCCTAAATACATGTTGATTATCAAGCACCTCCAGCATATTAACAACAACTTTCTTCAAAAGGTCTCATATTAGTAGAGTGCCAAACGAATCGTGAGTCGCTTAGATCAATAGTTGGTAGGAAATCAGAGGTAAAAAGCTGTGACATTGCTAGAATTGTTACCTAACATCTCCAGATCATGGATCCACTTGTCGTCAAAAAATCGTCCTGCGCGTTTGGGGGGTAGGGGGTAATTTATAAAAAAATATGGATTTTTTTTATTCGTGGAAAATATTGATGGGGTCCCGAACTTCCACCCTGTTGAATCTTGATTTCGTGTGACAAGTAGAACAAATTATAGAAAATGTAGAAATTCACCAATTACATTACGATACCAGGAAAAAGATGGCGGAGAGTGAGTAGTTGACATCTGTGTGCTCCCCGAATTTAGTGAATTTAAACAGTAAAGTGTGTCAAGAATTCATCTAACTGATGTGAATCAACTGTCAGATAACTACGTTAAAGGTTAGATGCATACTGCAATCACTATAGTGAAGTTCTTTTGTGGTTCTGATCATTGTTTACATCAATTGTGAGATTGATTTCCATATCAGTAAACAATCGGATCGTGTAGGTGGCTGCTGGCAGAAGAAAACGTGAGTCGTGCGCACCTTTCTTAATTGCTGTCGCAGTTCGCAGTTCTCACCTGTGCAAAAGTAAAATTTAATTAGTCGACGCTGTACACTGGTGAGGTACCTTGCTGCGCGGCTGAGACAATCTTGGTTTATACTCACGTCGTTTCATTTAATGGCTCCAGAACTGAGGCAAACGAAAACAATGGATGATCGTGCGATAAATCAGATTATCTCAAAAGTCTCTGATAATATATCTACTCGAATAGATGAGAAATTCAAAAATTTTGAAAAACAGTTCAACAATTTAGATACCAAAATACAACAAAACAAAGATGCTATATCTCTAATTGACCATCGTCTAGACGCCTTGGAACAACATTCGAAGAGGAAAACGCTTCGTATCTTTGGATTGAAGATCAAAAACTCTGAGAATCCATCTAAAATTGTTCGTGATGTGATCACTAATAAGATGAAATTGAATCAAGTGGATGCTAAGGATTTCGAGAATTGTTACAACATCACTCCGGAGATTATTATAGTGAAATTTAAATCGTTCGAAGGAAAACAAATGGTATTCGGAGCAAAGGCTAATTTGAAGGGATCTGGTATAACCTTCAGAGAAGATCTCACTAGTTTTCGCAGAAAAGCGGTTGTGGCAGCAACAAAAAAATATGGTCGTGATTGTGTTTGGACCATAGAAGGTAAAATTCGCTGGAAAGATAAGAATGGAGTAACGATTAGACCCACACCCACAGAACTAGAAGATTTGATCAGAGAAATGGAGAATGAATGAATAACGTTCAGAGATCCAAGAGATAAAAAAAAAATATATATGTATAATTAATTTTGAATATTATTGATATAATGATTTTCTTTATTTTCTGGTTTCTTCTCTTCAACGAAACATGAATTTTGTTTTCCTTGATGTATGTGTATTTATACATATTATGTGTACCCACATGATATTACATTGATTATTATTTTCGACGTTAACTGCATTAGGTATTGCTACCTCGCTGTTCTATTTATTTGTCTTGATTCTCAACAATAATAAGTAGATATAAGTCGTTACAGTAATTTATTGAAATTGAACTATGATTGTTTAGTTATAGGAATTCTTGATTGTAGTATTGAATTATGGGGGCAACAGAATTAGGTACTTGAGAACATGAAAATAGCACACCTGAATGTCCGTTCAATATTTTCAAGGTTTAATGAATTTTCGGAACTAGTGGAAGCAGAGAATTTTGACTTGATTGGTATCACAGAAACTTGGATGTCGAATGATGTTGCATCTGACATTGTTAATTTACCAGGTTACTGTCTCATCAGAAAAGATAGGAATAGACATGGAGGAGGGATTGGAATCTATCTGAGAAATAATATCAGGTATCAAGTTCTCAACTTTGATGGGGAATTGGCTAATAAATTGTTTGAGCACTTATGGATAAAATTCAAAATCAATCAGAAATATTTTATAATTGGAGTCATTTATCGGCCACCTCAAAATAACTCTGTACTAGATTTTGTTAACGATATGGATAGTATTTTGACTAATTTTCTTCCTACTGTTGACAACTTGATATGTGTTGGTGATTTCAATCATGACATGCTACAGCCGAGTAACTTGATTTCGGACTGTTTCAACTCTTTCAATTTCTCACAGCTTATCAATGAACCCACGAGAATTGATAGATTACTTGATAATATTTTTATCAGCGATTCGAATTTGGTTATTGACGCTAAGACAGTTAATGCTGATCTGATATCTGATCATAGTCTTGTTTTTTGCGAGCTCATGCTACCAACTCGTGTAACCAAAGAAAAGTTTGTTACCTTCAGAGATTATTCAGGTTTTAATCTGAATGCCCTAAAAATTGATTTAGCAAACTTGCCTTGGAATGATATGCTACAAGAAAATGATCTCGATCGCAAAATTGAAATATTTAACGGGTTTTTATTTCAAATATTTGATTATCATGCACCAAAGAGAAGGGTAAGGGTGACCAAACCGAAAGCACCATGGCTGACACAGAATTTAAAAATTTTGATGTCAGAGCGTGACCGAGCTCTGAGAAAATATAAAGCAACTAGAACTGCTGCTGATTGGTCATCGTACAAGCAGCTACGTAACTTCACTCTCACATCACTCAGGAATGAAAAACGAGGATACTTAGAAAACTTTTGTAGAACCAATGACTCTAAAAATGTTTGGAAAACTTTGAGAAACATGAGAGTTGTTGGTGGTAAACTCAATTCAATCCCAGATGACTTATCCAACCCTGATGACATTAATGACTTTTTCTCTAGAATTTGGACCGAATGTAGTGATGACGTATGTAGAGACTCCATTGATTTTTACGATAGGAATTTTCTTAACGATAATGCTACCAAATTTGAGTTCAAAATGACGACAATTGATGAAGTACATGATTTCTTATTCGAAATTAAATCTAATGCATACGGAATAGATGATATTTGTGTCACAATGCTGAAATATTGCAGCCCATTTATCGACCCCTTTATCACTCACCTAATCAACTATGGCATAGAAAAAAATCAATTTCCATCACTATGGAAAATTTCTTTAGGTCGGCCTCTACCCAAAATTTCCACACCTCTAGAATTCTCAGATCTTCGAGTCATAAGTATCCTACCATGCCTTTCAAAAATTTTCGAGAAAGTTTTATATAAACAAATATCACAACATGCTGATCAAAATAAAATAATTCCTGTGTGCCAAACTGGGTTTCAAAAGAAACTCAGCACAACCACATCGTTGACGCGCGTTCTCGATAATATTTTTTCTAATATGGATAAGAGATATGTCAGTATGCTAACATTATTGGATTTTTCGAAAGCATTTGATACCATAAACCACAAACTTATGATAGCAAAACTAAAATATTATGGATTTTCTATTGACTCGTTAACTCTCATTCAATCTTATTTCGCAGGAAGAAGACAAAAAATAGTTTCGAATGATAATCATTCAAATTATGTCGACATTACAGCTGGTGTCCCTCAAGGAAGTATTTTGGGTCCTCTTTTTTTTATAATTTACACTGCGGACATTTTGAATTCTGTAGAACATTGTGAAGTACAAGCATATGCCGATGATACTCAAATATCAATCAGTTTTTCTAAAAGTAATCTTCTTGAGGCTGAAAATAAGCTTAATAATGATCTCGATAAAGTTTTTAGAAAAAGCCGGTCTCACAACCTGAAACTGAATTCCTCTAAATCAAAAATAATTATTTATTGCCCAAAAAACTATTATAATGAGATATCTATGAATTTGAATATAACTATTGATAATATTCCATTAAGTATTGTGCATTCGGCAAAAAATTTAGGCTTAGTATTTGACAATGAACTCAGATTTAAAACTCACGTTAAAAATATACTGAGCAAGTCATTTATCTCACTCAAAACATTATATAATAATCGATTTGCGTTAAGTTTCAAGCTACGAAAGATGTTATGTGACAGTTTGGTTTTGTCGCAATTCTCCTACTGTGATTTCTTGTATGGACCTTGTCTAGACGGATCTCATAAATATAAAATTCAAAAGGTACAAAATTTCTGCGTGAGGTTTATTTATGGATTACGAAAATTCGATCATATCTCTCAAAAACTGAATGACCTCAATTGGTTGACAATGGAAAACCGTTGGAGGCTTCACTTAGCTCTATTTATATACAAAGCTCTTATGACTACATCAGATGGAAACAGATATAATTTTATTCGAAGATCCAGTATACATTCAGTGAATATAAGACATCCTAATGCTTTAACTATGCCACATCATTCCACGTCCTTGTACCAGAGGAGTTTCACTTATAATGCTGTCAAAATATTCAACTCAATTCCAGAACATATTAAAAGTCTTGAACTAGTTCCGTTCCGAAAATTCATCAAACATGAATTATTTTCATCACAATTAAATTGATTGCATTTAAATAGTTGTTTCTTCATTTATATTTGAATGTTATCCTAGCAATGTATTAATCATAATCCACAATTTTTCACTTTCACATCTGTCTATAGTAAGAGGTTAGATGTAAGAATAGCCTTAGGCTAAATCTCGCCTCTTATTATCAGACAATCAATTTCGAATAGTTCAAATTATTATATGATTGTTTTTTTTTTTTGGTGATTTTAATAAAGACGATTTATTATTATTATTATTATTATTATATATGAGAAAATCATATTTCAAACGGCTATAACTCAAAACTTGTAAATTTTCGTTAAATTGCTTTTCATATACCACGCATTATCTCAGTAACTACAACGTTTATGGAAAAAATACTTCAAATAATGTCGATGCGCCTATGTTTCAAGATGCGAATAGTTCTTTGATTTTGAAAATCGAAGCATAAATAAGGAATTTTGAAAACAATATAAATTGATAGAAATTGTGTGAAGTGCGTTTTTTGATTTTCATATCTCAGATTAATCATTGGGTTTTTCAAAATATGGATTTTCAAACGACGAATTCACATTGGATCCTTATGAAGAAATAGTTGTTGACCACCTTCACTTCTCAATTCGACGTTTTTTAGCGCCATTTATTGGGTTTCAATTTTCTCGAATAGGGTATTGAGATATTTCTGAAGCGGAAATGTTTCTTTCTCGCCCATTCGTTCTTAAAATCTTCGATTTACTTAATCGCTATACATGTAAGTAATGAAAAAAAACAATTTTTTATTTCCAGTTACTTGCCGCCCAAATTCTATCGACAGGTTATGCACTGATCATGATGGCCGTCATAGTTGGTACTGCTCTCCAATTGCGAGAAGACGGCGTCGGTTCACCGTCGGCCATTTTCCTCATAGCCATGACAGGATCGTTCTTCATAGCGGCCTGTTTGCACCCCCAAGAGTTCTGGTGCATCGTTCCCGGCATCATCTACTTGCTCTCTATTCCTTCCATGTACCTGCTATTGATTCTTTACTCGATCATCAATCTGAATAACGTTTCGTGGGGGACTAGAGAAGTTGCAGTTAAGAAAACCAAAAAGGTATCTGAAACATAATCATAATTTTCTACAGATATATCAACTTTTGTTTCGGTTGCTTCACTCACTTGTTTCTCTTGTTGATATTATGTTCCTTCACATTTTATGCAACGTTGTGCCACCTATATGATAAGGATTCCCGTTCGTGCGATCCAGAGAATTGAAACAATTTTGTTCGAGTCTGATGAACAGATATGCAAATTTGATGACTACCCAAGTACTAAGAGAAATCACTCATAACTTTTTAGGCAAATTCAACTTCACCGTAAGAATCATGAAATTTTTTGATTTGAATAACATACTAGTTTCATATCATTTCTAATAGAGATTTTTTTCATGTATATCAAGTCGACTTTCCTGCATTATCAATGAGAAAATTACAATTTTATAAATTCACCATCGTTTCTATCAATAAAAATATTAGTATTTTTTCGACATAAATTTGATAGCTAGAAACTTGATTCTTAAACGACTGTGAATGAGACAACAGGGTCCATAACTAGAAATTATTGCTTCATATACAGGGGGCACCGAAAAGAATCTGGAGGATCTGATCACTTTTTTTAAATAGAATGCCCTATATATTAGCACATTTTCTGAAGCATCCCTGTGACCTTCATTCATTCCTATAATATTGTTGAATATATCTCGATAATTTCAAAGTTATTAATTTTTTGTCGAAATAATGTCATCTGCAGATGGATGCCGAAAAAATCAATGTAGTCACAATAATGAAATTTATGACAGAATAATCATAATACCTTTTGATGAAAACATGTGTGATATTTTTGTAGAATTTTTATGGCCTCAAATTATACTGGGCGGCTAAAAATGATTTTTCAATTCGGAACATTTAGGAGTGATTTTTCTCGAAACACGAACATCTTTTATCTCAACATCCATATTGATATTCGTAACCATTTTTCAATAATTGAACTTCAGCGATACACATTTTCATCAGTTATAAAAACATGAAAAGTCCAGATAATAATTAAGTAAACTTGTTATTTCAATGAAAGAGTTGAAACCAGAATTAAAGCAAACAGTTCATATATGCTATTAATTTACAAAGTGAAGAACGAAAAAAATATCTCATAAATTCATAGCACATCAAAAACAAAACCAGGATAATAATCCACAATTATGCAGAATGGGAATTTTGTTCATTTTCACTTTGTGAATAACTAGGATATAAACTATTTCTGTTTGCTTTGATTCTGGTATCAATTGTTTCAATAAAAAACAAGTTCAATGAATTATTAATTGGACTTTTGATGTTTTAATAACAGATGAGAATGTGTATCGATGAAATTGGTCAACCTATAATTTTCGTGGTTCAATAATTCAAAAATGATTACGAATATCAATATGGATGTTGAGATAAAAGATGTTCGTGTTTCGAATTTACACCAAATAGCCTAATAATATGTTCCATTTGAAAAACTCGAAAAGAATCTCTTCCAAAAGTTCAAAATTGAAAATTCCTTTTTAGCCACCCTGTATAATTTTAGAGCATGAAAATTCTAAAGAAATATCAAATGATATTATGATTATTCTCTCTTGAATTTCATAATTGTGACTTCAGTGATTTTTACAGTGTGCATCTGCAGATGACATCATTTCGACAAAAAATTAATAACTTTGGAATGATCGAGATATAGTTAACAATATTATAGGAGTTGTTGGAGGTCACTGGGATGCTTCAAAAAATGTGGTAATACACTATGGGCATTCCTTTTGAAAGAAGTGATCCTGACCTTCTAGATTCCGGTGCCTCCTGTATATGCGGCAATGATTTCTAGTCATGGACCTTGTTATCTCATTCTCATTCGTTTTTGAATCGAGATTCTAGCTATCATAGAACTCAAGCAATCGAGCTCCGACGCACTAATGCCCCTCTCCCTGTATACCAACACATCAACAATGATAGAAAGCAGAGAAGTTGAAGAGATAAAACACCTTCATTCATCTCGGTCATTCTACTCATATTTCTATCACAAACAGAAAAAAACAGATATACATCAACATTCTTATTCGTCATAGGAACTGGAGGAAGAAAGGAAAGCAGCAGAAACAGCCAAGAAGACAGTGAAGCAAAGATCCCTTCTTGGATTCCTCCAAAGTGGTGGCACGAATGACGACGACGAGGGTAGCATCGAACTTTCTTTTGCTGGACTGTTCAGATGTATGCTGTGCACACATCAGAAAGCCGGAGATGAAAAGGCACAGCTAATGCATATCGCCGATTCTCTCGATGGTCTGGCTAAGAGATTAGAGCACATAGAAAGGTAAGCCATAAGTGTTACTATTCCGCCTCGCGATTTCTTCAGATTCTTCCCATTGTGGTTGCTCTTAGCATAAGTACCTATCCTGGTACATCATAAATTGCATTTTATCAGGAAGTTCAAATTTCAGAGACCGCATTCACAATACCAACTGTATCAAACCACTTGAAGCTATAATTTTGTAAGTTTCGAAACAAGAAAAATAATTCCCTTTGATATATGTCACTATAACAATTCCTCGTATACTTTTGACTCTACACATTATTGGGTTTTTCCGAATAAGAATAAACTAATGATCACTATCTATAACTTATTCCTTTGTCAATCACGTAAATCAGTTCAACACCCTTTGGCTTGATGGACTGTTACTGAAGAAGACGATCAATGATCGAAGACATTTTCAGCGAATTGTGGAATGTAACATGAAACGAACTCAATGAGTCGTCTATTTATTATAGCACACTTTCGGTATAAGCGAAAGCCCTAGGAATTATTTTAAATGATTTCCATCATTTTCATTCATTCGGCGACAACTCCAACTTCCAGAAGAAGAGTTGACCAATTCTACCATCCAATTCGGCTAACCAACCAACCAAAACTTTCTGCAGAATGAAAAGTACTTCTAGAAGATCCATTTTTCAGTTTTCTACCCATGTTTTTGCCATGACATTTCTTCTACTACTGCTTTGTTTCTGGGTCCAGTTCTTCATATGTCATCGGATGAAGTGATGTTGCCACCACCAGATTAGCCAATAATTCAAGGGGATACCGGTTATTTTTTATGATATTATTTTTCTCATTGTCTATGATTCTCAAAGTTAAAGGTAACCTCTTAGTCTAAGATCCGAACCTAAGTCGACCTTCACCGAGCTGATAATAGAACGAAATATATTTTATCATGAATTTAGTATATTAGAAAACATATTAAAAATGGGTTGCCTAAAAAAATCCTGGGCAGACTATTTTTAATTATTTTTCGAAAAATTATTTTTAATTAAATGTTGCAACATCAGGATAATAAAAAAAATTGTGTCCTGACTGAAAGTATGAAACGTATAGAATGTGCAGCCGTTGGGGTGTCTACTATTTACCTGGGCGAACTACTGGGTTGTCAGGTAAACACAGGTATATCGATGCCAGTTACTTTCACTGGATTGGATAATTTAAAAAAATGTATATCATCATAAGCGCTGTTTAATTGCGAACACGTTGATATAGGGTTGTCTGCGAAAATTCCGGTCCGATTAGGGGTTTTTAATTTCAACGCGCGTGGAAGTGTGTGACAGAGAGATCCGAGGTAAGTATACTGTGTGATAATAAAGGACCCAACATCGCAGTCGCTTGTGATGGGACCCTGAATAGTAGAAAGTGCGCATGCTCGGTGTGTAAACTATGGAGGGTAGAGGTACCTCTACTACCCTTCATATAGTAAACAGTGCGTGTTATTTTGGAGCAACTGATATTTCAGTAGCAAAAAAAAATAATTAATTAATTACATAATAATTAAATATATTTAATATAATACTAATATATAAAAACAATATAATATCAGTATATTGCGTTATAACCATAATGATATATCTATAATCTATAATAGACAATAAAAATATCAAATACTTACTTTGAAATTTTTTTGCTCTTTCTGGAAATAGAAACAAAGTGGACCGCCAAAAATTTAAATTAAGAAATAACAAAAAAGATAGACTAGACATCTTGTATTACGATTTGAAATTTTATTAAAAAACATTATAAATACAAAAATAATAATAATGAAAAATAAATTCTAATAAATATTTTCTATTCAATATCTGATTCATCAGAAGTATCATTTTGACTCTCGAATTCGTCTGATTCATTAGATTCTTCCTCATTTGCTTCCATTTCGACAATGTCCTGGATTTTCAAAGGAGTTTGATCTCCGATAAAACCTGTTGGTTTTAAGAAATCATCAAAATGCCAACCATAGTTTTCAGGATTTGACTTCGCACACTTTCTACTATTCAGGGTCCCATCACAAGCGACTGCGATGTTGGGTCCTTTATTATCACACAGTATACTTACCTCGGATCTCTCTGTCACACACTTCCACGCGCGTTGAAATTAAAAACCCCTAATCGGACCGGAATTTTCGCAGACAACCCTATATCAACGTGTTCGCAATTAAACAGCGCTTATGATGATATACATTTTTTTAAATTATCCAATCCAGTGAAAGTAACTGGCATCGATATACCTGTGTTTACCTGACAACCCAGTAGTTCGCCAAGGTAAATAGTAGACACCCCAACGGCTGCACATTCTATACGTTTCATACTTTCAGTCAGGACACAATTTTTTTATTATCCTGATGTTGCAACATTTAATTAAAAATAATTTTTCGAAAAATAATTAAAAATAGTCTGCCCAGGATTTTTTTAGGCAACCCATTTTTAATATGTTTTCTAATATACTAAATTCATGATAAAATATATTTCGTTCTATTATCAGCTCGGTGAAGGTCGACTTAGGTTCGGATCTTCTACTATCTGATAGATGTCGTCAATAACTATTGTTCTTCAACATTACTTCTTTATTCGTTTCATATGGCCTATACGTTGAGATAACTCCTTCTCTGTTAATGAAATGGTTGTTTGTGCATACGTACATCAGTTTCACACTAGAAGTAGAATATCAAAGCCTGACCTCAGTAGACTATCATCTTTTTCAAGATGCCTGCTACGGTATCTTGCGCTGTCTTAGATATACTAGTACATATCAGTTTCGATTCAAAAAAATGTATGATACAAACATATATTCACAAAGTAAGTACCCAAAGTAAAACTCCGAACCAACAGGGATTTCGTTCAAATTTTTCCACTACAGCGGCCATTATTATTCGAATCTTTTACAATCTGTTGAAGCGGGTGAAAATCCCACTGGTATTTTTGTGACCTCAGTCGCGCCTTTGACTGCGTACAACACTAGACAAATTGTTTAAAACTGGTATTAGAGATATTCAGCGTGAATGGTTCGTATCATATCTTTCAAATCTGTGTGCGACTGTCAAAATACAATATTCGATTGAAAATTATAACGAAACTTTCTTTTCTGAACAGTTAATAAATGACATGAGTGTACCCCAAGGATCAGTTTTAGGGCCGATCCCCTTTTTTCTTTATGTCAATAAGCTGCCATCTGTTTTGCCAAAGTCATTCACTTATTTGTATGCTGATGACTCTTCTATCCTATTTAAATTAAAAGATTCGATTGAACTGCATAAAAATATTAATTATTCTGATCGAGTGAAAACTCGTTATTTTTGAATGCTCATAAAACGAAAGCATTAGATTTTCACACCGCCCAAAATACTAACACAGTTGTGTTGAGATAGAAAGAGGTGGTGAAAGTGTAAAATTTCTAGGGCTTTTTCTAGATAGAAACCTCAACTTCCGCCAGCACTGCGAAAATCTTAGTAGATTACCTACTTAATAAGACGTATTGCCTGTTAAGAAACCTAAAAAGAATTTTGGACAACTCTGGTCTTGTTTAATATTACCACGGATAGATACCTACAATCGAAAATTAACTATGGGCTAATTGTTTGGGGTAATTCTCCACCTGCACACAGCGTTTAGGCACAAACGAAAAGCATCCGAACAATTGCAAACGCATCACCAACAGCATTGTGTAGAACACTATTTAAAAAATTGAATATTTTGCCACTTTCAGGTCTCAAGAACAATTTTTTTTATAACTTCCGGAGTTTTTTGAGAACATCACACAAGAACAAGTTTTCGAACATGAAATAAAACAATTACTTTTTGAAATAAGCTCCTATACAATCGATGAGTTATTTTCTTATCAAAATTAGTGACTCACTCTATTGCTTTTATCCCTTTTGTTATTTATGAAAGTGTTTGTTATGCAGGGTGACATAGAAAAAAGTACATTGCATAGTGCCACACAATATAGGATACTAAAATAAAAAAAAAGGGTAATTTTGCACTTATCATGCGATGGGTTTTTTTCGAAAATTTTTTTTGGTACTTACGTATTTTTGTCTGAAAAACACGAATTTGATAATGAAAATGTGAACAAACCATTATTTATTAAGATATTTCACAATAAAGTTACAAATTTCACCTTCTTTTCCGCCTGTCTTTGGGGCGCATTTAGAACAATTTGCCCTTCTTTTTCCATCATTGGACAATTTATATATATCACACAATGTTGGACACATTTTTTTTATTATATGAGTCAACTAGAAATATGATTTTATTGTGATTTATCCATTTTTAGTGAAAAGAAGGAAGAATATCATTTGAAATAATGGCGTGTGTGATGTCATTCCAAAGCAATCTATTGACATTTGACATCTCCTATTTGGATTACCCATCGATTAAATGGCGGTCATCTGGTATGCTTGCTCACTAAATAGGAAAAACTCGCCATAAAAATCATATTTCCTGTTGAATTTTCTAGCTTAAAATGTGTCATTGAAGTAGATCATGAGTATATGAAGTGTCCAATGACAAAATAAAAAGAGCAAGTACCTGTAAATGCATCCAACACAAGGGGGAAAATAAGGCAAAATTTCGAACTTTTTCTTGAAATATCTCGATAAATAGTGGTTTGTTCACATTTTCAATATCAAATTCGTGTTTTTCAGACAAAAATACGTAAGTACCAAAAAAATTTTTTGAAAAAAAAACCATCGCATGATAAGTGCAAAATTACCAAAAAAAGTTCCTATAAACATGGGTCCGCAAGGCCTTCAGTTAAAAGATACGGGGTGTTGAATTTAAAATTGTTTTGTGTTTTCTCTGAATATCTTTAGCCAGAGACGCAAGAAATGGATAAAATGTGGTATACAGGGGTTTTTTATCATGCTGAATTCAAATATGATCTTAGTTTTGTGATGACTGATAGAGGGCGCTACATACAGGGTTTCATCCCTATTGAATCGGTCGTAACTTTTTTGCTATACACTGTATGTCATTTTCGACGGAAAAAAATTGTTATCCCTTCTTTCATACTTAAGAAAGGTATACCTTGTCCAAGTCGCTAGAAGCAATGGTTCCAGTACGAATGCATCTAAAATGCACGCAAATTATTCAAAAAGCGCCAAAGTAACTTCAGCAAAATCAATGATAAATACTTCAACAATTACATTTCAATGGTATGATGGAAAATATGATTAATTAGAACAAAACATTGAGTTTTTAGAAGATGTTCAAATTGTTGCCCTTGTACTTCAATACATTTTTCCATTAAAATTCAACACACCGTATCTTTTAACCGAAGGCCTTGCGGACCCATGTTCATAAAAACTTTTTTCCTTATTTTAGTGTCCTCTATTGTGTGGCACTATGCAATGTACTCTTTTCTATGTCACCCTGTATATTTGTATTTTAAACTGTATTTGATATGTACTGACTTGTCCAATTTCTTTTTTAAGCTCATCTAAATGGATCAATAAAGACTGAACTAAACTTAACTAGAATGTCTTCTTTGGCAGAAGTCCATATTGCTCAAAGTGGAGTGAAATATTTCACAGGAAGGAAGGAATGCTCGAAGTGATCTCCACAAATTTTAATGATATTCTGACTAAATCATGAGGGACATGTTTCGGTCTTATAAAAGACCATCTTCAGCCTAATTGAAACAACTGATATTGAAGTGAAAGAATTACCTATTTTATGCTAGACTTACTTGGAGTTGAAAAAATTATTTTATTATAATGCTACTATTCCTTGAACTGTCAATGCCCATAGTCAAGAGTTCCAAGGTTCTGAAAAAACGGGTTCTCAATAAATGAAGGGCCCCGTGCCCTGAGAGCGTATACTATTTTTTATTAATGAACATTATGGATTCGTTCTTAGGCAAAGCAAATTGTTCAAAGATACTGGCACAATAACTGTGTTGTACAATACACTCGTCAGACCAAAGATGGAGTACTGCTCGGTTGTATGGAACCCTGATCAATTTCTGTACAAGCATACTCTAGAACAAATACAAAACAAATTCCTGAGGTTCCTCTACCTGAAAAAATATTAAGTTTTTCCTGACTTTAATGTAATTCGCAGTGAGATGCTCCGAAAAGAATTCAGAATAGGCAGTCTCGATTCTCGAAGAATCAGCAGTAGTGTTATAATGTGTTATAAACTGTATAACAAATTATACCACACTCCGTATTTGCATTCTTTGTTGAAAAGAAGAGTACCCATCAGACTCACAAGGCTTAACCAGTTTTTTGAAATCCCTCTGGTAACAACGAACAACTGCTCCCCTGTAATCTCCATGTTGAAGATAACGAATAATGTTCTCCTTCTGTCAGAAATCGATATTGCTCCTCCCCCCCCCCACAATTCTTCTAGCTACTTAAACAATATTTTGACAATGTTGAATAAATCTTGTTATGTCAACCAAACAACAGTTCATCGATAATGTACCAACTATGATGAAATTATGAATTTATAACGAAAAATTATTGGAAACATCAGCAGATATCTTTATGCACATTGAGACTGATTTAATATTAAGTTTGTATGTAGTATAGTTTTCTCATGTAATTAGGTGTAAACCTGTTTGAGAAATAAATAAATAAATAAATTAATTATGGTATATGAAATGTTCATTAATAAAAAATAGTATACGATCTCAGGGCACGGGGCCCTTCATTTATTGAGAACCCGTTTTTTCAGAACCTTGGAACTCTTGACTATGGGCATTGACAGTTCAAGGAATAGTAGCATTATAATAAGATACTTTTTTCAACTCCAAGGGAGTCTAGTATAAAATAGGTGATTCTTTCACTTCAATGTCAGTTGTTTTTGTATTGTAGACCTTTCAATTAGGCTGAAGATGGTCTTTTAAAAGACCGAAACATGTCCCTCATGATTTAGTCAGAATATCAATAAAATTTGTGGAGATGACTTCGAGCATTCCTTCCTTCCTGTAGAATGTCTTCGTTTTTCAGGGTTGTGGATCCAAATGCCCACCACACTAGAAGGAGAAGCATGTCTGCCTCATCCAGACTAGGTGACCATCTGAAGCCAGTCAACGAGGATCAAGAGCAGAGAGACTCCAGCGACGATTCAGACGAAGACACGATTTCTGTGACGCCGGGAAATAAGCGAGATGATCTGATCAACCCCTACTGGATCGAAGACCCAGATGTTGGTAAAGGCGAGGTCGAATATTTGGGCAGTAACGAGTTGGTGTTCTGGAAGGATTTGCTGGAAAAATATCTGTATCCTCTAGATGAAAATAAGGAAGAAAAGGTAATCATATATGTTCCTCTTGAACCATCTGAGTCCATCCATCTTGCAGTGGAGTGAATATAATAGGACAGGAAGAAAATCTTACAGTCAACTCCACCAAAACTATACTTTATTAAACATTGGACATGAAGCTTCTAACCATGTCCAATGTTAAATAATAGTTTTGGTGGAGTTGACTGTGAGATTTTCTGCATGTTCCTCTTGAGTTTTTAATCGAGTCACTAAATAGCAAATATAAGAAAATATAATATCCAGTAGTGTCTTCCATTTTGGTTAATAAAACCTGTCGTGACTTAGCTCCAGTCTAGTCATCGTTCTAATAGGCAAGTACACAAATACGTGAATTCAATATGAATTCATACATTTTTTGATAAAACTTGCTGTAATACTAAAAAAAGCACCATTTGTATGCCCTACAATTTCATTAAACGTTCCAACATAGCGTACACGGAGGCAAACTCGTGTATCCAGTACTGAAGTCATAATCATTTTTCTTCTGTTTGCCAGCTATTTTATTTTGAGGAAATATCAAGTAAATATTTCTCAATTTTCGAATCGATATCATCAACTGTGAACGTTCGAGATGATTTAATATTCATTGATGTACTAAGTGTCACCGATATCGGTGTTGGCCACATTGTCAATTCTACAAGTTTATAGCTGACATGAATACCAAAACGAGTGTGTTGAGTTGTAGCACAAAATTCGGCCTAATCCTAAATTATAAGTTTATACCAAGGATTATATAATCTAACTGAACGATTCTGGTATACACTCGCCATTTCAATGATCCTCAAGTTCTGATGACATAACTGTAATATCTATCATGTCATGATATGTCACAATCCAGTTCATAAGGAAACAAGGATAAGTGAGTTCTAAACTGTCTTGCTCAGTTCATTGTTGAAATCAGGTAAGTCTTGAGAGCGATGAATGTTGAAATTGACCTTTTGACCTTCATTCTCTTGCGCTGTCATTCTGTCAAAAAACTAAGAATTTTGACGCCAAGTGTGATTGCTGATTGCATTCGCTATAACCTATGACGAACAATCACTAGGAGTCATGAAATATTCCTCAACAAAATGTTTGGAACAAACTCTCATGTTTTTGGTAACCCTTCTTCCTATTTTCAATTCGATCTCCCACAGTTTCTTTCTATCAACCAAAGTCGCCATTCCAGATTCTCCAATATGCTCAAGTCTCTGATCCTCATTTGAGAAATGATAAATAGTCAAATTGGGGTTGTTTTACACACAGAGTTGCATCCAGGTGCACAACAATTTGCTCTGCTTTTCACTCTTATCAAATCAATAATCACTTATGAAACAACTATTATCATCACACAAATGCACAATGCAGAGTGTGTAAACAAACAATTCACACTTGCTAGTCACATGATAATGATGCGATTTTTTTTCATCAGATGGCGTATTGCTTAGCATTAAAAGGCAATATCCAAACAAGCTGAAGCATCGGTTGGGACGGCAACGCTGTTATCCCACTGAATAGTGATTTTTTTACAAGAGTACTTGTGACGTCAGTAATTTTTTGTGGTGTTCTAACGGAAGCATTTCTTTGGAAATTTATTTTGTGAAGTCTAGGAATGAAAAATTCAAAAAAATTCTATGTGCCTTGCATGATGGATCGACATAGTTGTGTTTCAATTTTCTGGCAACTGAGGGCTATTCATATTACTCATGAGATCAATCAAGAATCATAAGTTTTTAATTTCATATTATGGTTTCCTTGAGATTTGTGTATGTTATCCTTGACTATTTACACTTAACATTTTGAGAGAAACAAAAATCTATTCAAACATGATCAAAGTATCATTCAACTCAAAAGAAATTTTGGACTGTGAATCTGAATATTATAAACTCCATCGCTAACGATCCAAAGGGTATAAGCGGTTTTTTGCTAATTGAAAAAAATCTATTCAGTAGGTGGCGGTATCAATGAGCGACAAGGTGAACTTTATTTGTTGAGCAACGAAGGGTAGAGATCAGTAATGCAGAAGTTTATTTTTAGATGTTTTTATGCAAGAATAAGGAATGTCGCATCAGGACCGGAAAAAAAGATATTTTTTAATGCCTTCAGAATATCGAAGTTATTGTCTTTCCTGCTTCAGAATGAAGGATATTCCTAGATAGTTCAGCAACTTGCAGATAGATGAACTCGAGCAGATTCCGAGAGTATAGACAAATCGGAATATCTTCCTCAATTTGCCTCAACATTTCATATGAAATCATTTAGTTTGTGTAAATGATCTAGGGTATTCTGAAAAGTTCCTACCTCATGAGGAGTAACTACTGGTCCAATTGTACTTTATGTTTCTAGAAAATTGATCATTACATTGTCTTATGTCCTGGATATAATTTGATTTCTTCATTTGATTTGCTGTTTCAATAACCAATGACACCACTTGCAAACATTATAGGCCCGTATAGCATCAGACCTGAAGGAATTGCGAGACCAGTCAGTATTTGCTTTCTTTATGATGAACGCCATCTTCGTATTAATCGTATTCTTGCTGACCTTGAAAAAAGACTATCTGCACATAAAATGGCCTTTCGGAGTCCGGACGAACATAACCTACGACGAAACCACACAAGAGGTAATCATATGGGCTCACGATGGTATTTTGTTGGTAGAGGTAATTCGAGTGATATTAGGTATCCGATACAGTTTATATAGGTATGCCAACAAGGAACCATGTGGCCCAACCATTCACCATATCTAATCCAAATGAATTTCCTTACAGGACAGGATAGCCAAAGACTTGATCGAACTGCGGAACAAGTCAGTTTTTGCGTTCTTCATGTTCAATGCTTTATTCGTCTTAGTCGTGTTTCTTCTACAGCTCAATAAGAATCAGATCCACGTTAAGTGGCCGCTAGGAGTGCGCACTAATATCACGTATATTGAGGAAACCTCCGAGGTATTTAATGGTCTAGGATAGGCCTTCTGGATGGTGGATATACTAATGAGTGCCTCTTTGGATAGAAGGGACTCGATTCTTGTGATGTTCGTACCAGTATTGACAGCTCACACTCACTGACAGTTGAATCAAATTTAAAATACAGGGTGTCCGGAAATTATGCGCAAAAAATCAAGGGGGTGATTCTGCATGAGAAAACATGAAATTTATTTCATATATACTTGAGTCCGGAAATGCATAGTTTTCAAGATACAGTGTGTTTAACTTTTTAGAAAAAGTCGTTGTTTTATGAATATCTCGAATATTCTTCCACCAATTCTCTTGAAATTTGGTTATGATATTCTTTGTCATGAGGGGCTGATTTAGCCATTTTTAAATTAAAATTGTGAAATCCAGTGGCGTCCCGGAGGCACCCTACCGAATATTTTTGTCAATAAAAAGTGCGCCCCTGATTTTTTTAAATTCTCTTTCTCCATATCCTAATGATAAAACAAAAATACAACATTTTAGTCTCTTGAGTTGTTTTGCAATTTTGCTGCGTTTCCGTGGATAAAAATAAATACCAATTCATTGTATGAATTTGTGCAAAACATTGCTTCACAAACAGGGGTGAAATTAAATGTGTTATCCATGTCCATAGACGTAGAATAAGAATTAATATTCATTTTCTTCAAATATTTTATAACACACGTTTGACACACTTCGTATTATCGAAAACTACGCCTTCCTGGACCGAGAATACATATTTCTCAATATACAGAGTTTAGAGTGTGTCAAACATGTATCAAGGAATATTTGAAGACAATTAATCTCAATACTTACTCTCTATCTATGGACATTGATGCCGCATTTATTTTCACCTCAGTTTTTGAAAGAATTTTTTGGCACAAATTTATGCAATAAATTGGTAATTATTTTTTTCCATGGAAATGAGGCAAATTATCAAAATAATTCAGGAAACCAAAATGTTGTATTTTTAGTTGGTCAATAGGTTATGAAGATACAGAATTCAAAAAAGTCAGTGGCGCACATTTAATTGACAATAATTCTTCAATATGAGACATATATACAGGGTGTTTCATAATTGAATGTCAATATTCGAGGAGGCGATTCTTGGGCTCATTCTAAGAAGAAAGTTTCATATGAACGTATGACCTAAACGTCCCAACTTTGGAGATACAGGGTGGTAAAATTCTCGAAAATTAATATAGCCTACTACAATGAGAAGTTATAATTTGAAAATACCAAATACGAATACAAAGTTCATGAACTATGAATTGTATTTCTGAAATTTGATCTTAAAAATAAAAACTATTTCTCTGCATTGTGATATTATCATATTAACAATATTACTATAATCATGTAGTGAAAAGCTTTTTATTTTTAAGCGAAAACCGTGCATCAGATTGAAAAAATTGTAGTGATCAAATTTGCTTAGAAATGATCGGGAATTTCAGGAATGATTTCAATTTGGAGATTAATCAGTGGCGTACCATCAATGTCTGCCAAAATAGGTATGTGAAATTCCATACGAACGCCACTGGTGGCAACAACAAAAAATGTGGTACGCTAACTGATGCCTCTTGATACATAGTACATGTATGCCAAATTTCATCAGAATATCTGAAGTGGTATTACAGATATTAATAAAAAACTATTAATTTTTGAGAACTTCACCACCCTGTATCTCAAAAGTTAGGATGTTTAGGTCATACGTTCATATGAAACTTTCTTCTTAGAATGGGCCCAAGAATTGCGTCCCCAAATATTGACATTCAATTATGAAACACCCTGTATACAGGGTGTTGATTTCGGAAAGGTGAATAATTCAACTGTGGATAAGGGTCACTGGGGTGATTTCAAAAAACCCATGGGTGTTGGGTCTATGACATCTTATTACCGAGATACGGGGGATGTAATCAATTTTGCCCATATCTTTATTGTCTGATAACTTCACAACCAACCTGTATATTTTTTTGAAAACTGGTACACATACTCAATCTATCCTGTCGAATTGATTGAGGCATCAACAAAGGATAGAATTCAGGTCCGGCTTCACTTCAAATTCACAAATTTTTTCTGCCCAAAAAAACACCATGTACATTTGAATTTCTCAATTGTTTTGCCATATCTGGAAAGAGCATCAAAATGCCTGTTGAACGATGTGCTTTTTATTCGTGCACAGACGATTTTAACTATTCATATTAAGTGCTCAAAATATTATTTTTGATAATTTTGTGGTAAAAATTGGAATCAGACAAGATTTATTAATCAAAAATACAACAAAAGTCTTTGAATTCATAATTATTGTTCTCTTGATTCCAAACTTCGATTCACACTGACGTTTAATGAACATTTATGTGAAACGTCAAAATATACGCATCACGCAAGTGACAGTCAATGGTGTCTAGATAGTGAAAAACTATAAAATCGTGTTGTTATGAGTTTAGCAGCCCAATGCACGATATACATTACTTTTGATCACGCATTTTTAGGGTTGATATGATTCATTTCATGTAGGCGAAAAAATATACAAGGTATGTCACGACGAGCTTACACTATCTCTATATCGAGAATGAGTCAGGAGAAATCCATGAAAATATGCATGCTTATATTTTAAAACACGCTCTTTTTATTCAAAATATTTTCAGCAATGCAGTGTTGCCGCTTTCATCAAAAAGTAGCAACAACTTTGTTATTTCAAATAGAATACCTTGTATTTTATTGTATTTTTAGATTTCATTGATACATCACACTTGGGGTCTATCGGAAATTATTACAGAGATATAGGTGTTCGAAATCGAGAATTTTCAACTTCAGGATTTGTTTGTGGCGAAACTATTCATTATCGGCCAAAACGGCTCACATGTCCCTATATCAACTGTTGATTTACTATTTACTAATATTCAATCGGAACAGATAGAGGGTGATAAGATTTCTGAATTTTGAACCACCCTGTATCTGTTCCGATAAAATATCAGTAAATAGTGAATCAAAAGTTAAGTTAGTGACATTCGAGCAGTTTTGACCGATAATGAATAGTTTCGACACAAAAAAATCTTAAAGTTGAAAAATCTCGAGTTTGAACACCCTATATCTCTGTAATCAATTTCGATAGTCCCCAAGTGTGATAAATCGATGAAAACAGCTCTTCACGGAGAATCTAAAAATGCGATAAAATACAGGGTGTTCTATTTGAAATATCAATGTTGCTACTACTTTACAGTGGAAGCGGCAACACTGCATTGTCGAATATTTTAAATGAACAGAACATATTCTGAAATATAAGCATGCATATGTTCAGTTTCGCACCACTTTTATCTACTCAGAAGTGGTCAAAGATGTGGTACTTCTGGATGACGAAGTATTTGACACATATTACTTCGAAGATATTGACGCACAGTTTTCTATCATAAATGTGGGCAAAATTGTTAACATAGCACCTCATTTATGAATCAGCTCGATATAGGTAGTGCATAACATTGAAATGTACTATGCCTTCATATCTTAAGAGGCGATATATCTTTTGCGTTTCATTCTTTGTCAAGATAACAAAGAGCTTCATACAACCAGCCCTGAGTCTGACTCAATTGATGTCTCAAACATTGTCATTGACTATAAAACATTACATTCACAGAATGCTGTGGCTTTGATAGACATATCATTTTGCATTGCTGTTTCAGGCATTGGTCTGTTTACATAAGCCGTTCGATATACAGATATATTGATACCATAATGAATGTAACACTCTGAATCCCATCTTCAATTATTTTGGTCTCTTCACTTACTTTTCTTATTATTTGAACAATCTGTTCCGAGAAAAAAGTATCAAGTAGTATGTACAAGCTACCTACATCTCAAATTAGCAGTCTCGTATATTTCTGAGATGATAGAGAGTTGAAGTGTTGTCATGAACGTTAACGTAAACGTAGAAATTGACAGCTACGCATGCGCAGTTTCCAATTCTTCACGTTTGCGTTGTTAGTGGGCTTACGGGTGTACGTTATCTCACGTTCCTTCACGTATACCTTAAATATCAACGTACGTTAACCAAACTATACTCGAAATATGCCGATGAGTCAAAATTATCAAATTCGAGATCACCAACGAGTTCTGCATCAAGGAGTCCTCTAATTTTGACAGGAATAAATGTTCGAATCTAAACACACAACAAAAAATGACCAATACAAACCGAAAACAAAATGTATTATTAATTACGTTATGATGACATTGATGACCAAAGTGGCGACTTCAACTCAATTTAACGACAATACGTAAACGTTATTTTTCGTACGTTAACGTCTACGTGGAGGTCTACGTACAGTGATTACTTCAACTCTCTGATGAAGAAAAATGCTTCATATAAATATGGAACGCATCGATTAGAATAAGAGTTAACTGATTGTGGTGAGTGCAAAACTGTTTTGGTTGTGCATATTATTCGGAACTGTCGATGAGTTATGACTAGTCAAAAACGTACACATCACTAGATATCAACACACTTTCCAGTGATTAACACACTCTCCTACTGCAAATTTTATGTTGTGTGTTGTGTTACATAACATCAATAATGGGATTTTCCAGTCCTAACAAATCATCTGAAATAATCGAAAGATAACATTCATATGGGCTCATTTTTAATCTCGAATCGAATCAACATATCTTCATTTGTCATT